GCCAGAACTAGCTTGGATGCCACCCAGAGGCCTGGCAACCAGTGGCATCAGTGAGCTGGGCAGGATGCCAGACAGAGTGTCACAGATTGCTTTGTCTGGCCAGAAAGGAGGCAGCAAGCACCCAATGAGAAAGGGGGCAGTGACCCAATAAGATGCTGCATGAGGCAACTGCCTCATTATAGGGACAACTCAGCCTAGAAGCATGTCCCACTTATACAGTACTTCAAGTAACCCCTTCCACACCAAACATTCACCATCACCCAAACCTCATCTCATCTACCTAGCCACGCCCCTAATATATTGCAGCAATGTAGCCGAGTCTGTGTGTAGAGTCAGCCCCATGCAATGGCTGGTTGCAATCATGGGTATTGTCTTTGATTTAAATATCAATAATGATTTGCAAATTCCTATTTCATAACTGTGAAGTCAATCATTCTTCCTCTTACCTTTTCAAAATACCTGACGATGACAGTTTCCAGCTCATCCTGTTTCTCAGCAATTTTCTATTTGAGATGAAGAAATAATAAATAATCAGTTGCTGATTTCCATGTACAGTCTCAGCGACCCCATTGCCTGACCAACAAAAGCCTTCCTATATGATTATGGGGCTGGTTTATAAACCTTCAGCCCAGCCATAAGCTGGACGAATGCTGATCACAAAGCATTCTTGCCACTGGATGGAGCTGAGGAGCATAGGAAATATGGGGAATGGCATGGGAACGGAATTCGCCCAGCGTAAAGGCCAGGTGAAAGATTTAAAAATCAGCCCCTAAATGTGCATTTCATGAATTTTAGGCATGTCATTTACTTGTAGAAGCCTTATTTGTGTAGACATTTAAAAGCTGCTGGGTGCTGCCATCTTGCATGCGATGTCAGCAGACCCGAGCTCCGTCTATTTTCAGCAATGTTACATTAGTCTGGTATAGTGTAATAATAAGAGCGTCCTATTGAAGGGTTTGATTCCGGACTCTGCTTATTGGCAGTGATGTTGCATCAGCCTAGAATAGCGTACTGATAACCGCGTCCTATTGAAGGGTTTGATCCCTGACTCCATCAATTGGCAGTGATGTTGTGTCAGTCCTGGGTAGTGTATTGATAACTGCGTCCTAATAAAGGGTTTGACCCCTGACTCCTTCTATTGGCAGTGATGTTGTGTCAGTCCTGGGTAGTGTATTGATAACCGTGTCCTATTAAAGGGTTTGATCCCTGACTCCTTCTATTGGCAGTGATGTTGTATCAGTCCTGTGTAGTGTATTGATAACCGTGTCCTAATAAAGGGTTTGATCCCTGACTCCTTCTATTGGCAGTGATGTTGTATCAGTCCTGTGTAGTATATTGATAACCGTGTCCTAATAAAGAGTTTGACCCCTGACTCCTTCTATTGGCAGTGATGTTGTGTCAGTCCTGGGTAGTGTATTGATAACCGTGTCCTATTAAAGGGTTTGATCCCTGACTCCTTCTATTGGCAGTGATGTTGTATCAGTCCTGTGTAGTGTATTGATAACCTAACCGTGTCCTAATAAAGGGTTTGACCCCTGACTCCTTCTATTGGCAGTGATGTTGTGTCAGTCCTGGGTAGTGTATTGATAACCGTGTCCTATTAAAGGGTTTGATCCCTGACTCCTTCTATTGGCAGTGATGTTGTATCAGTCCTGTGTAGTGTATTGATAACCGTGTCCTAATAAAGGGTTTGATCCCTGACTCCTTCTATTGGCAGTGATGTTGTATCAGTCCTGTGTAGTATATTGATAACCGTGTCCTAATAAAGAGTTTGACCCCTGACTCCTTCTATTGGCAGTGATGTTGTGTCAGTCCTGGGTAGTGTATTGATAACCGTGTCCTATTAAAGGATTTGATCCCTGACTCCTTCTATTGGCAGTGATGTTGTGTCAGTCCTGGGTAGTGTATTGATAACCGTGTCCTAATAAAGGGTTTGATCCCTGACTCCTACTATTGGCAGTGATGTTGTATAAGTCCAGTGTAGTGTATTGATAACCGTGTCCTATTAAAGGATTTGATCCCAGCCTCTGTCTATTTGCAGTGATGTTGCGTCGGTCCAGTACAGTGTATTGATAACTGTGTCCTATTAAAGTGTTTGATCCCGGACTCTGTCTATTGGCAGCGATGTTACACCAGTCCACTAAAGTGTATTGATAATTGTGCCCTATTAAAGGGTCTGATCCCGGACTCCTTCTATTGGCAGTCATTTTGTATCAGTCCAGTACAGTGTATTGATAACTGTGTCCTGTTGAAGGGTTTGATCCCGGACTCTGTCTATTGGCACTGATTTTGTATCAGTCCAGTACAGTGTATTGATAACTGTGTCCTATTGAAGGGTTTGATCCCTGACTTGCTGGCAATGGCTTTGTCCTTCTCCCCAATTACACCAAATAAATCTCTGATGTAATTCGCAGCCCTTTCCCTCCCTTACATAACATCTGTCAAGTGCAACATGCACAAACTTCATTAAAATGCTAATTACAGTACGATAGGCTGCAATCAGGGAATCCAGCCTGTCATACAAGCAGACAGATTCTCTTCTACTCGGGAAGAATTCTGCTGGAGCGGAATCTTCTTTAAATCTCCCCGGACTTTAAAGGGTTACATCTATGGCAGGAATGAATGAGTTTGTGTGTTCTGCTTTGCTTACCTTGCAGCACAGGACGGGGCTGGGGTTCTCTCCTTGTTCCCTGTAATTAAAAGAAGGGTGTGTTATATTTGATTTCCTGAACCGGCATGTCTTGAAATAAACAAATACATATTAATAGTAATACTATTTATATAACTCCTACTAATAAGAAGGCGTTAACCCATGATAGAAGACGTACTTTTTTTCCCCTCAAGCTTGCAATGTTCAAAGACTATAAATACGTCGTTTTTTTCCAGGCAACCTGGGCACTGCAGCTGTCAGGCTGAAGGATGTCTCAGCTGAGGATGTTAACCACCACTGAAGGGTGATAATCACATAATGCAACTGTTATGGGGCCCAAAAGCACAGGGGGTCCCTTAACGCCTGTTACTTGTGCAAGTAGCAATGGAATGTAGAAAATACTGTACATTTGGATACAATTTAA